ATGTTAATGATGTAGTCAAAAATATCTACTGAAAGGCAAAAATAAGAGAGTATTTAGCTGGGCATGGTGGTGCCTGTAATCCCAGCACTCTGGAGACTGAGGCAGGAGGATTGCTGTGAGTTTGAGACCAGCCTGGGCTACATAGTGAGTTCCAGGTCAGTCTCAACTACATAGTGAGACCCTGTCTCAAGAAAAAAAAAAAAACAAAAGAAGGAGGAAGAGGAGGAGGAGAGGAAGAAGAAAAATAACAGAGTATTTTAATTTTATACCTGCCATTTTTCTTTTTTTTCTTTTTTTCTTTTTTGGTACCGGGATCAAACAGTAGAATCACTGAGCTAAATCTCAGGCATATACCTGCCATTTTTATCTTTACATATAATTAGCATTGCCATTGCCAAAATTTGTTTTTAAAATTGTACATTTTATTAAATTGCTTAATTTTCAAGTATTATGTCACAATCATATATTGTATAAAATCTATAATTGCCAATTCATTGTAACTATTATTTATTTTCAAATGAAAGTATAAAGAATGCTTTACAATTCAAGAAAGTTATTGAACTATTCTTTGCGGCTCTCTGGGGGGACCCCGTCCCGCGGGGAATAGGAGGTGAGAGCCGCCTCTTATTCGTGGGTCATCAGAGGCCGATCCGATCTTGAATGTCTGTGAAGGAAATCTTTAAGAAGTTAGAGTACACGGCCCAAGTCTGGTTTCTGATCAAAGGCGCTTTATTGGCTCAGCAAAACGATTATATACTGTTATCCCAGGGGGAGGGTTCAGCAAGCTTATTGGACAGCTCAAGCAAATCCTCTACCAATCACATGAGTCATTCAAGCATTTAACCATACAGCAATCAGTATTTTACCAAATGTGGGGAGGGGTAAGTGCACAATCCCTAGGGGCAAGTAGGACGGGGAAAATACCACCTGCTTCCTGCTCCAGATCCGGTGACCCTGTGGTTAGCACAAAGGGCTATTTTTTCTGTAAGATTTCCTGTTTTGCCCAGGGGCTAGACCTGCCAAAGGTCACGTATGTAGTCTAGTGGGATTTTTCCACTGAGGCAAAGGCTAAGGTTGAGGGCAGCCATCTTATGCAGGCCCAAGCAGTCTCTCACAATTCTTCATTTGTAGTGCAATATAGAAATTGTCCTAGGTTTCAATTGTAACTACCAATAAATGAACAGAAACTTCTCATTTGCCAATCTTTGCTCATATTAAAAATAACTTATTTACAAGGGCCAGCGATTTACCTCAATGATTTCACTGCCTGTTTCGCAAGCATAAGGTCCCAAGTTTTATCTCTGGTCCAAAATAAATAAATAAATAACTTACCAATGTCTAGTTTTTATATGTAATTTCTGATTATTAAAATGTTTATAAAGTTTGGTTTTACCAAAGAGATGCAATGCATTATGATAAAATATTACCAAATAAACATTTTATAAGAAAAACCAACCCCCAAAAAAAACTAATATTGAAATTTAATCCCCATTGTGAAATATTAAATAGGTAACATCAGGAGAATTTTAGGAGGTGATTAGGTCATGAATAGATTAACCCAATCATAGACCAATAATTTAAAGGCTGGAGATTTGGTCTCCCCCGACTCCAGTACCGAGGATTGAACTCAGAACCTTGTGTTTACGAAGCAGGCACAGTGTCACTGAGCTACATCACCAGCCCTGAGATTTGGTCTTTTTAAAAAAACAGTTTGGGACCCGGGATATAGTTCAGTGGCATCATGCTTGCCTCGCAAGCTAAAGGTCCTGAGTTCCATCCCTGGTACTGGTGGGGGGAAAAGCTGGTTTGACTTTCACTAGACAAAAGAGAGCCTCTTTAATAAACGGTGCTGGAAAAAATTGGTTTTCCACATGCCAAAGAGTAAACCTAGACCCATTATCTCTCACCATGCACTAAAATAAAATAGAAATAGATCAAAGATCTAACAGTAAAACAGAAGCACTTAATCTGCTGGAAGACAGAATAGATAAAACTCTTGACGACATGAGTGTAGGCAAAGTCTTTATGAACAAAACCCCAGTTCACAGGAATTATTACAAAGAATCAACAACTGGAATCTCATCTTATTTAAAAGCTTTTGCACAGCAAAAGAAGCCACCAAGAGGGTGAAGAGACAACCACAGGATAAGAAAAAAATTTTACCAGCTCTTCCTCGAAAGACTAATATCTAGATTATATAAAGAAAACAACAACATGGGCCGGGGATTTAGCTCAGTGGTTCCACTGCCTGCCTTGAAAGCACAAGAACCTGAGTTTGATTCCCAGTATCAAAAAACAAAACAAAACAAAAAATCAGACCCACCAACTTTGTTTTTGTTTTTGTTTTTGAAACAGGGTCTCACTATGTAGTTGAAACTGACCTGGAACTCACTATGTAGCCCAGGCTGGTCTTGAACTCACAACAATCCTCCTGCCTCAGCCTCCTGAGTGCTGGGATTACAGGCATGTGTCACCACACCCGGCCAAAACCCACCAAATTTAAAGACCCAATCCAAAAATGGATGTCTGAAATAGACCCTTCTCAGATGAAGAAACACAAACAGCAAATAAATATATGGAAAAAATCTTTGACATCATTGGTTAGTCAAGAAATCTAAATTAAAACAACACTGAGATTACATCTCACTCCATAAAGAATGGCTATCATCAAGAAATCAAACAATAACAAATGCTGGTGAGGTTGTGGGAGAAAGGAACCCTTCTTCACTGTTGGTGGGAGTGTAAATTGGTACAACCAAAATGGAAATCAGTTTGGAGATTCTCCAAAAACTAAAGCTAGAGGTTCCATTTGACTCAGCTATTCCCCCTCTTGGTATCTTTCCAAAGAGTTAAAATCATACCACAGCACTCTATGCACACCCATGTTTATAGCAGTACAATATTTAATAGCTAAATCTTGGAAACAGCCCAAATGCCCATTCATGGATGAATAAAGAAAATGTGGAGTTTTTTTAACAATGGAGTATTACTGTGCTATAAAGAAGGATAAATTTGAGATATTTCTAGGTAAATGGATGCGCCTTGAGACCTTTTTTTTTTTTTTTTTTTTGAGACAGGATCTCAATATGCAGTTCAGGCTGACCTTGAACTCACTATGTAGCCAAGGCTGGCCTCAAACTTGCAATGATCCTCCTACTTCAGCCTCCTGAGTGTTGGGATTACAGGCATGTGCCACCACACCCAGCCGAGACCATACTCTTAAGCAAAATAAATAAGGTACATATGTTTAAATATCACATTGTTTCTCTGGTGTAAGAAATCAAAAAAGGTGGGCCGGGGATTTAGCTCAGCGGTGCCACCACCTGCCTTGAAAGCTCAAGGTCCTGAGTTCAATCCCCGGTACCAAAAAAAAAGAAAGAAAAAAGGAAAAAAGAAATTGAAAGGGTAAATAAGGGCGAAAAAGTATAACAGATATTGGGAAATAGGAAGAAAATGTTATATGAGAAGAGGAACAGGGTTGGGGGAGAGAGGAAGAAAGGACGGAAGGAAGGAAGGGAAAAAGAATAAAAGGAAAAAATAGGAACAAAGCTTTTATAAATAAGGGGAAGTGGGCCGGGAATTTAGCTCAGTGGTTCCGCCGCCTGCCTCGCAAGTACAAGGTCCCAAGTTTGATCCCCAGTACCAATAAATAATTAAATAAATAAAGAGTAAAGAGAAGAGAAGCCGGGCCTGATGGCACACTTCTGTAATCCCAGCACTGGGGAGGCCGAGGCAGGAGGATCGCTGTGAGTTCGAGACCACCCTGGGCTTCATAGTGAGCTCCAGGTCAGTCTCAACTCTACATTGTGTGACCCTGTCTCAAAAAACCAAAAAAAAAAAAAAAAAAAAATCTTAAAAAAAAAGGAGTTGAGGGCAGAGGGGCTGAGAAAAAATAATCAAATTGCATTATATACAGTTACAAATTCCCTATGATGAATGTAATTACTGTATATATCTAAAGTGTATCAATAAAATTAATTTTAAAATACAGTCAGTTTGGCTCAGGCTTTGCATGGACCGGCTGTTGACACATCTTACTGTAGTTCTATTTCTGTCCCTTTCTTCCTTCCTGCTTCTCTCCTGGTCTCGACGTCTGCCCTGCTTGCCTTTGCCTCTGACCCTCCTGTCACCATCCCTTTCCAATCTCTCTCCCTCTTGCCACCTGTTCTAACACATCTTCTGCAGTGTCTCTGCCCAGGCCGTCTCCAGACTGCTCCCCTCCCTGCCCTAGGCTCAGTACCTATTCTGTCTCTCCCGCTCAGCACCTCTCTGTCCCTGTCGATCCCCACGTCCTCGCTTTTCAAACGCACACTCGGGGCCAGAGGTTTAGTTCAATGGTTCTGCCGCCTGCCTCAAACGCCCGCTTGTCGAGGTGTTGCCCTGGCGACCAACTGGTCGGTTTTCTGGTTACCATTGCCCCAGAGTACAGACGGCCCTGCCGGCGCTGCGCACGCGCACAGAGAGACTCCGCCTATTACATCTTCCAGAAAGCACCCCACAGAGCTTCTCCCGGGCACAGTCCAAGAGATGGCTGAGGAAAAACCCCTCCCGGCCAGGGGTTGCCATAGAGACAGCGAGGCTGACGGCGTCCTAGTGAAGGCCATGATTGGTGCAAAACCCTGCAGATCCTAGGAAGGGCCATAGAGAATTGACGAAAATTGGAAGGGGGGGGGAAAAAGCTCGATCTAGAGGGCGGGACAGCCATCAGTTGCCCCCTAAGAAGCTTGCGCACATCGACGGGGGCCGAACCCCTGGATTGGAGGCAGGGAGCGTGGGAGAGACAACCAGGAGGGAGCCCTAACCCTTACAGCCACCACTATCCCAGGGGGCGGGACAAGAGGGGGATAAAACCGGAGACAAGAATGGGGGAAGGGCGAAGGGGGCGCTTGAGGGGCCGCGGAGCATCTTGGGAGACGTAGTTCGCCGCGGACGGAGCACAGAGATCGCGCATGCTTGGGAGTGCGGCGTGTCCCGCTGAACGCGGAGCGCTGAGGTGAGGGCGGGGACCTCCCCGCCGGGAAAGCTCGGGAGGGTCCGGGAAGACCGCGCGGACTCGGAAGCTCCCGCTACCTAGAGAGACCGGGAGCTCTAGTTCTTCCTACAGGAGGGTCGCGCGCTATTGCGCGAAACTTGTCAGTCACTGCTTATTGCCACGGCGAGAGGCTCCGGAAGGCCCGCCCACGGTTGCCATGGCGGCGTTTGAGCTGCCCGGACCGGAAGCTGTGGGTCAAGGCTGGGAAATGTATGTATGGAGCCTGCGCCAAGACTGCCCCGCTTGACTATAACCGAAGTTTCTCCCAGGATTTCAGGTTAACCTGTAACCTTGAGGAGCGAGGTTTTACCCTTGACATCAGGTGGCCCTCGTAATCGATGACACTGTGACATCGTATTAATAAATTTAGGGGCTGGGGATTTAGCTCAGTGGTGCCGCCGCCTGCCTAGCCAGTGCAAGGTCCAGAGTTCAATCCCCGGTACCAAATAAATAAACTTAAATTTTCACAAAGCCCATGCTATAAGGGAGGAGACAGCCCCATTTACATATGGGGAAACTGCGGTTCACAGGGCACAGCAGCTTGATATAGGTGGAATCAGAATCTTGAATCATCCTTGCAGGCTCCTGGCCCAGTGGTTTGGGGCCTTGAGCTCCCACCCCCACCTCATTTAGAGATTTGAGGTGAATCATTGCGTGATATGATGAGTTGCGCTTGGGTAGTGGTGCTCGGTAGGGGAAGGGTACTGCCTGGGTTCTCGGCCACACTGGTGACTTTGCACAGTTTGGGACAGTTGAGCTGGAATGAATTTGATAGTAGGGCCTGAGTTAGGGCCAAGTCTGAGAAACAGTGGGAGCATCGACCATGCAGTGAGGGCCTGGTGTTGGGGGCGGGAGGCAGCAGTGATGCTGATAACCAGGTTGTAGGTGGGATAAGTGCCATCCACCAGGTAAAGGGAGAGCTGAGGGCAGGGATGAGGTCACTAATGTTGAAGACGAGCAGGATATGGTGAAGAGAGGTGTTATCTAGGCCTAAGAAGCAGCCTGATTGTTTTGTTGTTGGTTTGGTTTAGTTTTTGGAGACAGGATCTTGCTATGATCTTCCTCCTCACCCTCCCAATAGCTGGGATTACAGATGGGTGACACGATGCCCAGCTTTTAGCAGGCTGTGTTGAGATGGGGGCTACCAGAGGTTCTACACAAGCCAAACTGGAGAAAAGGCCAGGAAAACAGTCCCTCTTGTGTGACCTCCTCCGTGCCTCAGCTTCCTCATCTGCCTTCCACATAGGGGCAGTTCTGAGGATTGGACAGCACAGCATACAGTATGTCCTCAAGATGTATTCACTACCAGTCTGTTATTAGCGCATTAGCCTTGTTCTGTTCCTTCACTAGATACGGACACTGACCTTGCAGACTTGATCTGGTGATCCTGATGAGGCCCATCATGCTGGGACTCCTGGGCCATACACCCCTAGAAGACGATGAGCCTGTCATGGTGAAGCTGGAGGACCCTGAGGAAGAGGAAGAGGCTCCCCTGTGGGATCTGGGACCTGAGGCTGCACGCCTGCGCTTCCGAGGATTCTGCTATGAGGAGGCAGTGGGTCCCCAAGCAGCCCTGACCCAGCTTCGAGAGCTGTGTCACCAGTGGCTGCAGCCAGAGTTGCACTCCAAGGAGCAGATGATGGAACTGCTGGTGCTGGAGCAATTCCTGGGTGTGCTGCCCGCTGAGATCCAGGCCCATGTGCAGGGGCAACGGCCAAGTAGCCCCGAAGAGGCTGTTGCCTTAGTCGACAGGCTCCGTTGGGAGCTGGGCAGGCCTCGCAGATGGGTGAGTCAATGGCCTGCATGGAAGGTCAGGGCTGGAGCATTGTTCTGCTTTGTTTTACACTGGGGAGTGCGTGTTCAGCCACACACGACATAGTACAGAAGTGACAGCCTACAACAGAGACCTTGTGTAAGGCTGCTCAGGGCAGGAGGGTCCCCCACAGCCTATTCCTGCATTAACTAAAATCCTCTGTACATGTGGGCTTCAGGGTAAGGGGAGAGAGGGAGGGTACCATGCAGCTCTAGATGTCAGTAACAGCACCTGCAGGTGGTCCTTTTGCTCCCTGCTCCAGGCCTACAAGAGGTAAAATCTTGAAGGACCTTGTCAGTTGGTAACAGACTTGGGTCCTAAAGTGGAGTGGTACCCAGGAGCCCCACCCCAGTTGTGCCCGGTCCCACTCTCTGCTTGGTGGGGGCATCTCCCCAGGTCACAGTCCAGGTGCAGGGCCAGGAGGTCCTGTCAGAGAAGATGGAACCTTCCAGCTTCCAGCCTCCACCTCAGTACAAGCCTCAAACTCCAGACCCTGGACCTGAAACACCTCCTGGGGCTGTGCAGGAATTGCCACTGGGCTTTCAGGTGAAAGAGGATCCAGAGGTTACAGAGGAGCCAGGTGAGGCCAGGCAAGGTGGGCTGGGCCTGCTGGAGGAAATGGTCCCCATGTGCCCTTGGTCCTCACCTCCCACCCAATCAGGTTTCCCCTCCAGTCCAACCATCTCTGTCCTTTACAAGCTACAGCCCCATTTCCACAGCTCTCCCCCACCACGGAGTAGACTTTGGGCTTTCTTGTGTCAGATCACTAAGGGACGTGCCCTGGTAGCTGGGGATTGGGAGTGCTGCTGTAGCAGGACCTTGCAGTGCTGGGAGTATGCGCTCCACCTCCCCACCACTTGTCACCATTCCTGGTTGGATGTACACATGTGGCCATCCAGCCCAGGATGCACAGGGCTGTAGAGGCTCAACCTAGGCCCACCCCAGCCCTCAGCAGCCTGACACTTGGCCTTCTAGTGTGCTCTCTTTTGCCCCATGCCCAATCCAGGCTCTCAACTGCCCACACTTTGCCCACCCCAGCCCTCAGCTGTCACCCATGTTTCCCTCTTGCCTGGGTTAGCACCTGGATACTGTCACCTGTCATACCACTAAGAAGGGCAGTGGAGTGGGAATGCCCTCAGGCTACCTGGCCCCACTTTTTCTCCCTAGAGTTGCTGGAGTCTGAGCCTTTACCTGTGACCCAGGGGGCTGAACCCACTGTCCTACCAGAGGAGGCCCAGGTGAGCTCCACACAGGATGTGACCCATTCCCTGCCCCAAGCCTCCAAGATGGGTGCCACTAGAACCTTCCCTGTGCCCACCCGGCAGATGAGCTGTAACCCTTGTGGTTTCAGGGCTACAAGACTGCGCTGGAGCTGACCTCTCCCCACAGCGACACTGGCCCTGAGGGGCCCTCATGGAGGGAGCAGCCTAGGGCCCTGTGGCATGAGGAAGCTGGGGGCCTCTTCTCTCCAGGTGAGTGAGACATGAGCCACACTGGGTCTGGGCCCCCACCTTCCCTTACACTGTTCCTGGTTCAACCAGACTGCCCTCTGCAGGTCCCCAAACTCCCCTCTCCTCCAGACCATTCTCTGCCATGGACCCCGTGGCTCCTCTTAGCCACCATAAACCTCCTGAGAGTCAATCTTGTGTTTTCCACACGTGTCCTCTCCCAGTCATGGCTTCCTAGGCTGTACTGATCGGGAACTGAATTCACACATGCTAGGCAAGTGCTCTACCACTGCACTGCAATATACATCCTGGCCCCGAATTTCTTTTTTATTTTTCTTTTTGTTGTTTTCTCAGTACTGTACTGGGGGTTGAATTTAAGGCCTTTATACTGAGCTACATCCTCAGCCCTACTGTTATTTTTTGAGACAGGATCTTGCTAGGTTGCCCAGAGTGGGCCCGAATTTACTATCCTCTTGCCTCAGCCTCCCAGAGTGCTGAGATTATAGGCCCGCACCTTCACAGCCAGTTTCAGAACTATTTTTATTAGCTCAATATCAGAGTTTTATCAGTGTTACTAATAAACATATTCAGAGCTGGGCATGGTGGCCCATGTCTGTAATCCCAGCACTTGGGAGGCTGAGGCAGGAGGATCACTTCAAGTTCGAGACCAGCCTGGGCTACATAGTGAGTTCCAGGGCAGTCTGAACTACATAGTGAGACCCTGTCTCAAAAACAAAAAATAAAATAAAATAAACACATTCAATTTGAAGTTCATCCCTTTCAGCTATAGAAAGGTGCCTTAAAATGTTTCTGTGATTTCTTTACTGCAATTGTTTTATTCTGTTTCTGAGATACCTCTCATATTTATATTTCTAAGACCTGTTGAGATTTCCATTTGTGCTAGCAACTATTTAATCTCCAAGAGTATTTTAATTCTTTAAATGTATACTTTTACAGTAGCTTCCTGTTGTTCTGTCAGTTGTGATGTCTTCCCTTATTTTTCTGAGGACAGCAATAATTTGTTTCACTAAATTTTCTTTTCCCCGTGTGGCCTCTTTCTCCCCAAGTTGTTTGGGTGTGGACCTCACTGTGGTATAAAGCCTAGGGAGTCATGGGAGAGCTTCTGTCTAAGGAACTTGACTTCTTGTAGGGAGGTGAGTAGGGTCCAAAACTTAAGTAGATGTCACTGAAAGATCAGTAAGGCAATCTGGCTGGACAGTTTGCTGTAAACTCCCTTACATCTTACTCTGAGTCTCCAGTTCAGCTTCCTGAAAGAATCCTGGCAGAAAGAATGACATCTTGGCATCCAGAGTTACTGCTACTTAACCCTCCCAACATTCTCAATAGAATCTCCAACCTCAATGCAGCCTTTGCTAGGATGGAGGAGAAACCCAGAAATCTGAGCCACAGAGGGTACACTGTGGGCTCAGAATTCTGTGCAGACCCCAGAGCAGCACCCTGCCCAACATCACCTGCAGCTGCTTGGCCAGAGATGCCTGGAGCCTACAACTCATGGGCTTTTAGAACCTTGGGGGTGCCAGGTATGGTGGCACACACCTATAATCCCAGCACTCAGGAGGCTGAGGCAACAGTTCAAGCCCAACCTGAAATACACAGCAAGAGCCTGTCTATAAAAAACAAACAAAAAGAACCTCAGAAGTAAAACAGGTGGGAGTTGTTTCGTTTTGCTGTTTTTTAGCTTTTCAGCTTCCCCAGCTCTAGCTTAGTATTTATCTAAGCACCACCACACCTGGCTCAGTTTCTTATATGCCCTTCCAGGAAGACTCTATACAAAGGAACAAAGACATATACATATAATTATGTACCACATAACATTTTAGTCAACCCTGACCACAAACACAGTGGTGCTTTGTAAGATTATATTGATTATTGGGGTTAGAGGTGTAGCTCAGTAGTAGAGTACATGCTTATCACAATGTGAGGCCCTGGGTTCAGTCCCAACACACACAGAGAGTATACTGGCTACTGACATCATAGCCATCACTCTGTGATGTTCACACAACAAAAACACCTAAAAATACATTTCCTTGAACTATTCCTATAATTAACCATCATAGCGGGGCGTGGTGGCACACACCTGTAATCCCAGCACTCGGGAGGCTGAGGCAGGAGGATCGCTGTAAGTTTGAGACCAGCTTGGGCTACATAGTTCCAGGTCAGTCTCAACTACACAGTGAGACTCTATCTCAAAAAACCAAAAAAAAAAAAAAAAACCATCATATAACTTTTTTTTCTTGTACTGGGAATCAAACTCAGGACTTTGTGCTTCCCGGGCAGGTACAGAGTTGCTGAGCTACATCCCCAGCCCAGCATCATAAAACACATGTTCATTTCCTTGTTGTGTGTGTGGAGGGGTGTTTGTGTAATCTTAAACTCACTATGCAGCCCAGGCTGGTCTTGAACTCACAGCAATCCTCCTGCGTCAGCCTCCCAAGTGCTGCATCACCACACCTGGCTGAAAATCAAAAAACAAAAGAAATGAAAACGGAAGGGCTGTGGATATAGCTCAGTACAGTAACCCTGGGTTCAATACACAGTACTGAAAAACAACACATGGTAAAAAGAAAAACTCAGGTGCCTAATATTGACCCTGTGCCACAATTTTTCATGCCATACCTGGCTTTTCCCACTTAAAACAACAGCAGAGGGCGCCCTATCTCTTTACACAGCCCCATAGAGAAGTGCTATGGCTCTCTGGACACATCCTTGTGTTTGTCCCCCCAGATTCCTACTGACATACAGTATTTGTGGGTTTTCCTTAGTGCACTGAAAAACATTGTGCATAGCAGATGTGTAGCATATGTCTGTAATCCCAGCACCCTTGGATGCTTGAAACAATAGGACGACAAGTATGAGCCAAGCCTTGGGCAATTTAGCAACACGCTGTCTCACAATTTTAAAAACTTTTAAAAACTGGGATTGTAATTCACTGTGAAGGCCTGCGTTCAACCCCCAGTACCACAAAATAATAATAATAGTAATAACTTTTAAGCCAAGCCTTTATTGGTACATTTTAGATATACATAATGATAACATTCATCAAAGGGAATTTATACCTGTACATGATATATATCTTGCTTTCGGTGGGGGTACCAGGATTGAACTCAGGTCCTTGCAATTGTGAGGCAGGCAGTGGAACCACTGAGCTAAATCTCTGGCCTCTTGCTTCTATTTTTCCCATTCCCTCCTCCCTTTGATCCATTTCTCCTTATTTGCAAAAGCTTTGTTTCTATTTTTTTCCTTCTATTCTCCACCCTCCTTGTTCCCCTTCTCATTTGAACATTTTCTTCCCATTTCCCAATATCTAATATACATTTTGGTCCTTATTTTTCACACCAGAGAAACAATGCTATATTTAAATGTGTTCTGATTTATCTCACAAGAGTATGGTCTCAAGGTGCATTTTTTTAGCTAGAAATGTCTCAGGCTTATCCTTGGTGTCTCAAACTTTATGGCAGAGTGGTACTCCACTTTATTAAAAAAAAATCCCTACATCTTATCCTTTTGTCAGTTAATAGGCATTTAGGCCATTTCTAAGATTTAGCTAGTAATATTTGATTTTTTTTCTTCATTGAGTTTATTGGTACATTTTAGGTACACAGTACAGTTACACTCATTATTGGGATCTTGTACCTTTACATGACAGGTCTTGGTTTTTATTTTTTCCCCTTTTCCCTGCCCTTCCTTCACCCCCTCCTCCCCTCCCCATTTACAAACATTTTATTTCCATTTTTTCATTTCTAGTAATATTTGATTTTAAAAGGAGCTGAGGATGTAGCTCACTGCATATGCCTGTAATCCCAGCACTCTTGGATGCTTGAAACAATAGGATGACAGGTACGAGACAAGTTAATCCCTAACACCACAAGAAAAATAAAAATTGTACACAGGTCATTTAGCACAAGGAGGAGCACAGCTATCGGAGAAACACCTGAAAGTGCAATTGGAATCACTAGGCCGAAGTGTAGCTCACCAGCAGTGCTCAGGAGCACTTGAGTCCCCGCATTGGCAATGTGGAGATGCGTTCAGCCCTGCTGTGTGCTTTTCTTACTAATAGGGGAGGGTGATGACTGAGCATATTTTATGGTTTAAGCAGCTACATTTTTTTTTTCATATGCTTTGGCCAAGGGTCTGTCAGGTTATTGGTCTTTCATATTAAATTATTGAAACAGCTTAGGAAGTTAATTAGCTCTTTGCCTCTGGGAAGTTTCCTAACTTCTCTTTTGTCTTTTGACCCTGAGGTGATTTTTGCTGATTTCCTTTGATGCATTCTGTTTATCTGACTTTTCTGTGATGGCCAGTGGATTTTCCTTCCTCTGCCATAGCCCTCATTCTCTCGATCCCTTTTTATTATTATCCTTTTTTAAATTAATTTTATTGGTACTTTTAGGTATACAATATATGACATTCATCACTGGGAATTTGCACCTTTGCATAATCTATCTTGGTTCCTCCTTTTTATTTTACTCTGTCTTCTTGGTGTAACCTCCAGACTTTCTTTCACCAGCCTCTGCTTCTCAGTTGCCTTTGCTGACACCTCCCGCTTCCAGCCTCTGATGAGGGCTTGTGTGGTGAGCGTGGTTGGCCCCACATCTCTCCTGCGGAACAGGCCTCTGGGTTGGTTATACTCAGGCCCGAGACCCTGTGCCCAGGTTCGGGCTCCCCAGATCCTGTGTGGAGTCTGCTCTTCAGGTGTGCCCCAGGTTTCTAAGTCGAAGCCCAGGAGTCTGGCTACCTTGCCCGCTGCCTACTTTTGTCCTGGCGCCCACCCTATCCCTGGTTTAAGCAGACTTAGGCTCTGTCATCCCTTAAGGAAGCCTGCACTGATAAGAGGACCAGTTCCCGGGTTCCACGTGGGTCCGGGCAGAGGGCCATATCTCACAAGGGGCTCCCTCCCTACAGGCTTTGCGCTCCTGACAGACGGCGACTCCGAGGGGCCGGCAGTGCTGAGCACGCAACTCCAAGTACCCTGGGACCTGGGCTGGGTCCGACCGCCCTCGCGCAACAGCGACTCCAGCGCGAACGAAGACACCTGCCCGGCTGCCGCCCCCTGGCGCCCGGTCCAGGGCGGGGGCCGGGGACGGCCAAGCTCAGGGGCCGGGCCAGGCCGGGGCGGGGGCTGCAATGTGTGCGGAAAGGTGTTCAGCCAGCGCAGCAATCTGCTTCGCCACCAGAAGATCCACACGGGCGAGCGCCCCTTCGCCTGCGCCGACTGCGGCCAGCGCTTCCGCCAGCGCGCGAACCTGCTGCAGCACCAGCGCGTGCACACGGGCGAGCGCCCCTTCGCCTGCGCCGACTGCGGCCAGCGCTTCCGCCAGCGCGCGAACCTGCTGCAGCACCAGCGCGTGCACACGGGCGAGCGCCCCTTCGCCTGCGCCGACTGCGGCCAGCGCTTCCGCCAGCGCGCGAACCTGCTGCAGCACCAGCGCGTGCACACGGGCGAGCGCCCCTTCGCCTGCGCCGACTGCGGCCAGCGCTTCCGCCAGCGCGCGAACCTGCTGCAGCACCAGCGCGTGCACACGGGCGAGCGCCCCTTCGCCTGCGCCGACTGCGGCCAGCGCTTCCGCCAGCGCGCGAACCTGCTGCAGCACCAGCGCGTGCACACGGGCGAGCGCCCCTTCGCCTGCGCCGACTGCGGCCAGCGCTTCCGCCAGCGCGCGAACCTGCTGCAGCACCAGCGCGTGCACACGGGCGAGCGCCCCTTCGCCTGCGCCGACTGCGGGCAGAGCTTCCGCCAGCGCTCCAACCTCACGCAGCACCGTCGTATCCACACTGGGGAGCGGCCCTTCGCCTGCACTGAATGCGGTAAGGCTTTCCGCCAGCGGCCTACGCTCACGCAGCACTTGCGTGTGCACACGGGCGAGCGACCCTTTGCCTGCCCCGACTGTGGCCAGTGCTTCAGCCAGCGGCTCAAGCTCACGCGCCACCAGCGCACGCACACCGGCGAGAAGCCGCACCGTTGTGCCGACTGCGGCCTGGGCTTCGCGCAG